GAAGAAGAAGACTATGACGATGACGGTGATGATGATGAGGATGATGAATGATGATGGTGATGATGAGGATAATGTTGATGATGATGATGATGATGATGATGATGATGATGATGATGATGATGATGATGATGATGATGATGATGATGATGATGATGAAACTAGTGAGGGTGGTGATGAAAATGGTAATGATGACTAAAATAATAATAATAATAGTAGTAGTAGTAGTAGTAGTAGTAGTAGTAGTAGTAGTAGTAGTAGTAGTAGTAGTAGGTGGTGGTGGTTTTGGTTTTGTCGCCATTGATGATAATGGTTATGGCCATGCTGTTGCTGCAGGTTTTGATATTCTTTTTGTTGTTTCTGATGTAGGCAATAATGATGGTGATGATGATACCTTTGAGGAGGAGGGGGAGGAGTAGGAGTAGGAGGAGGAGTAGGAGAAGGAGGAGGATGGGGAGGGTGGGAAAGATGGGAGGGGACAAGGACAACGAAGAGGACGAGGGAAATTATGAAAATTTGCAACGACACTTTGATAAGAAAATGTAGGAGCAAGCTCTAATTTTTAAATCGAAACTGAAGTCAAGCCTAAAAATAGCACCCACTCGATTTCATTATGATCCTGGCGACCACCTGCTGCTTTTCGTTCTCTTCCTTTTCGTTTTTTCCCCTCCTCCTTCTACGTCTACATTTCCTCAACCTCTGCCCTTTATTCACCTTTTCTTCCTCCTCGTTTCTCCCCTCCCCCATCCTACTCTAAACCCTACTCCTATTCCAGTCCCTTCGTACCGACGTCTTGTGATGTAGCAAAGAGGCACTTCGCCGTCGCACACAGAAGATATGAGTTCGACTCCCCTGAGTATTTTATCGAGTATCTCGGTCTTTGTTTTCGGACACTGGATCCGTCTCAACCCAGGTTGGTAATGGCACGCAGAGTAGAAGACCGCCTCTCAAAAGATCTAAATTGTGTCGAAGGGGGTGTAAAAACATACCTACTTAAAGAACCTCCTCCTTTCTTTCCCTCTTTCACTTATCTTCCTTTCCTTCTCCTCCTTCCACTATTTTCATCCCCTTTCCTCTCAGTCTCAAATTCCGCCTTCGGTATAATTTTCATTGCTGTAGGCAGAATTGAAATAACACAGACACTGACTTACAGATCTTTCAAAGCTTTAAGTGGCTTGAAAGCGTCGGGATGAATTTCACTGATCTGGTTCTCGGCAAGATTTCTGAAAAGAAAAACAAAATGAAACAAAAAATGTTTCGTGTAATCACGGCAAGGCATGGACGAAACATTGTTATACTCTGAAGACCTGTTTCATCGTCATAGTCGTCGCCATCATCATCATTATCTTCATCAGCATGGCAGCATCATTGGAAGTTTTCCAAAATATGTTCTTAGCTAAGGTTTTATCTTCACAATTGACTGACGTCTGTTGTGTAGCTGTGTGACACTTCGAGGACTAATAATAAAAATGATGCTGAAAAAAAATCTAATAATGATAACAATGATCATAATAAAAAAAAAATAATGAAAAGAGTTTTAAAAAGTAAATAATAA